TGAAATCAGGAAGTGTGAGATCTCCAACTTTGTTTTCCTTTTTCAAGATTGTTTTGGCTATTTGGTGTCACCTGAGATTCCATATGAATTTTAGGATGAGTTTTTCTATTTCTGCAAAAAATGTCACTGGAATTCTGATAGCGATTGCATTGAATCTGTAGATCACTTTGGGTAGTATTGTGATCTTAACAATATTAAGACTCCCGATACATGAACAAGGGATGTCTTTCCATTTATTTGTGTCATCTTTAACTTCTTTTAGCAATATTTTGTAGTTTGCAGTGTATAAGTCTCTCATCATCTTGGTTAATTTTATTCCTCAGCATTTTATTCTTTTTGATGCTACCGTAAATGGAATTTTCTTAATTTCCTTTTTGGATTGTGCATGTTAGCGCCTAGATGCAACTATTTTTGAGTGTTGATTTTGAATCCTGCAACTTTGCTGAATTTGCTTATTAGTTATTAACAGGGATTTTTTGTGTGTGTGGAATCAACAGTTTTCTACATATAGGATCATGTCATGTGTGAACAGAAATAATTTTACTCTATAAATCTCTTATACCTGAAATTGGTTCAAGAGCTGTCTGGCAACCTTGGTCCATTCATTCTCTCATCCTTTTAGAAAAACATCAGATAGGTATCTCTTCTCTCCTTTCAAACTTTCAATATCTCCCCTTTCATCCTCACTTTCACTCAGAAAACAAAGCTATCAGCAGAGATTTTCTCCAACTCCCACCTCATCTATCTACCCTCATGTACCTGTGCCCATGTAACTCTTCCTTCTCTGTATTATGAACAATTACTGTTCATAAGACCAATCTCTTCCCTTGTATACTAGATTTTATCCTCTCTTGCTTACTTAAGGATATTCCTCTAGCACTCTCCTCTGTATCTTTAATTTTCCTCTCTATTGGATCATTCCTCTCAGCAAACATGCTATAATTTCTCTCACCTGAATTTCTTCTCTTAAAGATTATTACTTTCTATGACAATACTGCAATTTTATCACTAATGTTTTAATAAACACCTTAGGGGAAGATTTTTTTCCTACTTTTAACTGAGATAAAAAATAACTGCTTTCTGTTTGAAAGCCTGATAAATTTAAACTATTAGAAAAAATTTATTTCCACACTCCAGAAAACTATGAAAATTCTTGATTTAAATGTATTAATAAATCAAAAGATTACAGTGGAGCAATTTCAGCCAGAGGGAGAAGGTACATCTCTCTTTACCTGTGTTCAACAGCAACAACAATCTCCTAGTCTGGTAAGCTTTGATTTTTTCCTTCTCACTTATAATGATCTTCTACTTTGGGGCTGCCAAAGTAGGTTTTATGCCTTCAAGAAGGGGTTATTTTAAACTCAACATTTCTTTGAATCTATAGACTCTTTCCACTGTCACATGATAGGGATATTCAGATGCTAATATATGGCATGAAAATATTGCTGCTGCTTTGTTATTTAGACACATCCTTTATGTGTCACTACGTTACTTTAGATTTTTCAAATAACTTAATTTTACTTTTAATCTGAAATCAACACAATTTATAATAGCAATTACTTTCTTCAAGGATGGTTCAAATTCTGCATACAAGCCTCTAAGGAGCTGACCACCACAGAATGACTGTTCTTGCTCAGGACAGTGGAATATTACATGAGTGGTATGATATGTTGATATTATACCTGGAAAAAATTTAAAATTAGTCCTTCTTTACTATCATTAAGCAAAGGCTTAAATTATGGGGTCTAACCAAACTGCATGACAATTTCACTAAACATGGTAATTTTTTCATTACTTTATTAAGAAATTGAAAGTTTTATGAAATGTCCAAATATATAAAATTCAGACAATAGATTAAAATTTGCTTTTCTTTTACTTACTGGTTTTTGGATACAAATGCTTGAAAACAAAAAAATTATATTAACTAGAGAAGATACATCTAAAATCAGTGTTGCAAACAGGCATGCGATAAAATAATATTCAGATATAATCCAAAAACCTGTTTTATCATCCAAAAACCTAGTTTTTGAGTTTAAGTGACTATAAAGTACCGTTTCTACACTCCCTGGAGTTTTTCTGATGGAGAAATTAACGAATGAATGATTACTTAGAAACTGTGTGTCAAGTGGATTTCAACTAAGTTTATTCCAGGAAAGTCAGGCTATATATATAAGCTCCCAAAATATGTTATTTTATTATTAGATTCCCTAACAATAGTTTCCTTATATACAAAGTTAAACTACTTAGAAGCTAAACATTTATATTTTTTGAGTTAATTTTTGATGACCTTTCTCTACTTTCTAGATATGAATAAGTTACAAATATACCATATCAGCTAAGAAATGTAATACAAAAGGTTTGATTAGAACATAAATAAATATGCTATTTATCTTAACATGTTTTTTCTTCTTAGATACATTCTTCTTTTGCACTTAAATTATGGATACTTATCCTTTGCTATTCTCTCTTTACACTCGGTTTTCATCCTTGTCAATCATTCTTTGTATTCAGTTAGTCAATAAAACCAACTGATTCTTTGAGATCTCAGTTTATCAATTTTTTTGCCATTCTTAATTTCATACCTTAAAACTAGGTCTAAATACCTTATACCTAAAATTGCATTTCAGCTGGACTTCCTATCTTTAGTCAATTAATAAAACTTCCTAATATTCATACATTCAAGAATATATTTGTGGTTTCCTAAGTAGAGTCTCTACTTCTCTGCCCTAATATCAAGGTCTGTATAATCAGGACCTATCCAGTATTTCCTACTTCTCTCCAATGAAAACACTCTACCATTGCAAGGAAAAGGTCTCTTTTAAAAGACGTGACAACCAAATGCAGTATGAGGACCTTTTGGAAATAATCAGGAATTTTAACAGGAACTAGATATTATTATTATTAATTTTATTAGTGTGTTAGAAGTATAGTGGTTATATATTTTGGAAAAAAGGGTCCCTATAAGCTAGAGAAGCATATGAAGTATCTATGAGTGGAGAAAAGATTGATCAAGCAGTGATGCTACTATGGCCACCACATAAGTAGCAAGTGGAACAAAAAATTACTCATGGGGTGGACTGGTGGTGTAGTGGTTGGATTCGCGTGCTCCGCTTCAGTGGCCTGGGGTTCGCGGGTTCAGATCCCCGTTCATCAAGTCATGCTGTCGCAGCATCTCACATACAGAAAATAGAGGAACGCTGGCACAGATGTTAGCTCAGGGACAAGCTTCCTCAAGCAAAAAGAGGAAGATTGGCAACAGATGTTAGCTCAGGGCCAATCTTCCTCACACACAAAAAAAATTACTCATCATTTTAGTATAGTGATTATCCTCTCCCACTGAGGGATTCTTCAAGGCTCCTGGAAGAACTGAGATGCTTATAATAAATTGTTTTCCAGTTCTTTCCTCCCCTAAGCTGTATATTTCTACCTGATCTCTGAATCTTCACTGAAGCTACTGCTGGAGGCTAATCTCCTTTCCTTTTATCCCTAGTTTTAAGGACAATTAAAGTCTATCTTCTCCAGTGGATAACCTTTCTAGCTGATATTAAACTGTCCATTCCTAAGAACCTTTGAATATAGACAATTATTCTCAGTATTAAGTACTGTGTTGAGCAGATAATTGGTTCCATTATTTCATACCTGTCCTCCATTCAAATGTGGCAATGCCTCCTGGTATGGCCCAGGCCATTTCTCAACTCTTATATCTCAGTCCACTGGAAACACCATAGTGCCTCCATCCCTTCAATCTCTGCTTCCAAGGTTGCTGGCTAAGAGAAAAGCCATTTTCCCTAACTAGATATGGAAAGAACCCTAATGGCCAGATGCAGAACCAAAAAAACAGAGCTATTAAAAAAAAAAAATCAGAAAACAGAACCATTCAGTTCTTGTTCTTTATCTTTATACAATAGTCTTATTTCCAAATCTGGTGGTTTATATTCTGTCCTGTGGGCTCTTAATGATCTCTACTGGCTTTTGATATACATCAAACTTCTCATTCTTATGATCTTCTAAGAAAAAAATACTCATTGACAGGTGAGACAAAATAAGTGAATGTCTTGCTTAAGAAGTCAACTTGAACATGAATCCGAGTAAATGGGAATCTTTAAATACCTTAAATTAGTTTTCTTTTTATATTAGGTAACAGATTTAATAAAATTTTTAATATACAATATAAATGACACAAATTTTACATAAATTAATGATTTTTCCCCTCACCTCCTTATAAATGATTTACAACTCTAATTTTGTTTCCATTAACATTTTTGTTTAGGCATATTTACTATCCTACACTTCTCTAATTTCAGGTCATCTTGTTTTTATTGCATTTAACAAAGACATTAAAAAAATCCTAGGCATGTCTCCTAAGCTCTAAAATCATCCTAAGTAAAAAAGAATTCACTGGTCAATGTCTGCATTTCTAACTTTATCAATATAATAAGCAAAAGAAATAATTTATTGAGGCAGCAATCATGTAGAACAGTGAATTTGAAGCCAGAAGACCCAAGATGGAATCCTGGCTCTGTTCCTTATGAATCCTTATCTTGGTTAAGTTATTTTAGTACATGAAGCCTCAGTTTCCTCTTTGTAAAATGGGCCTATTCATGCCTTCATCATAGCCCTGTTAAGATTGTCTGTACAATCTTAAACTTTAATAAGTGCATCTAGTAGTGAATAGGCATTCAATAAATGCCTGCTGAATCTAAATTTACAGTAGGATTTGAAACACACTTCTGACAAATTTAGGGTTTCAGTGGACTGAAATTCAACATGAACCAACAGTGTTGATGACAAAGAGAAAGTTAGTAGAATCAGGCTGCATTAACAGAAGTATCTTATTCATAAAAGATGCACTGTATTTTGTACCTCAAACCACATTGAGTATATTGGGTTCAGTTCTATATACAATGTTGTAAAAGGAATACTGACAAAATGTAGCAGATCCAAAGTGGAATATCAAGTATACTAATGGTCTAGAATTCATACTATGAGAATCAGTGGAAGGACTTGACTATGTTTAGCCTAAAGAAAAAGACATAAAAACCATTGTAGAAGATACACCTAGGGCCAAAGGATGAAGTTATATACTAAACTTACACCTGCTCTCTTCTGAGAATTTTATTTTCTATCAATTACTACTGACATAAATGTAATTTATAACATTATGGAAAAGTTTATTTATTATGGTTCTAATTCTAATATTCTGAGGCTACAATAAAATGAATACAGATCAATTTAATAATTGACTTTTAGAAAAACTCAGTGTATTTTACTAAGCTGTCTTGTTAAGGATTTGGAGGACAAATTGCCAATTTTAAGTTCTGACTATAGGGCACCAAATACCATGAGCAAAAAGAAACAACTTGAAGAGCCAAATTAAAGAAAACAAATAAAAAAAATTTTAATAAATTTATTTATTGGCTATAACAGGAAGAGTGAAACTGACAGTCTAGGCAAAAAGTCAAGGGTGATTGCTGACAACTGGACATATATTTATTTCAATTCTGCATTCAATTTATTCCTGTTTTTACATGGAGATAATGATGAAAATTCAAATTTCAGACAAACAGGTAGTGGCAAAGGGCAAGACTGCACAGAACAGTCTGGGGATGTCACCTATTGTCTTTACGGCTAGAACTTGAAATCCCTATTACACCAGAGTTCACTATATTTGTATGTTTATTTTTTATTGAAATCAAGGCCTGCACTAACTCTGCCTTGTTTTCATTTTCCTAGGAAAACACCCAAAGTAACCTCATAAACAAGAAATTCTCTATTATTCTTTGAATCATTCATCTTGAACTGAGAAGTTGTTCAGGGTGGGAAAACAATGAATCCACCCCCTTTCTATAATTTTGGCACTAAAATTCAAATTTTAGGGCTACAATTTTGTTGGGAGCAGAAACACAGCCTTGCCTTAAACATAAAGGCTCAAATTTAACTCGATCATTCTGTTAAACACATTTATGCCAAATACATAAGACTTTGAGGACAGGAACACCTGGTGTTTGATTAAACATTGTCTAATTCTCAAAAATAGCAGTTATTTTAACAATGTCTAAAAAACGGCTGTAGCATATTATGACCCTGCTCTAAGTTCATAAATTATAGAATATATAGCTTTAAGAGCCTAGATTTGATATATTTACTAAATTAGTATCAAGTGATCATATCAGAAAGTTTGCAAAGCCTTCTTTACCACCAAATGCTGACAGTACCTAGCACCCTTATAAATTTCTCTGCTTTGCATTATAACACCCTTTACTACCAATCCAAGTACCAAAAGAACAATTTATTTTTTTCTATTTTGGCACAAATCTTTCTCCCAGAAACATTCACATTATGAAATTATTCAAGATAATTAAAATTTCCACATGAGTGGCACAGGTAGACAGCAATTTATACAAGAGTAAATTTCCATCACAAATAAATTAAAAGTAGGAGAATTTTCAGCTATATCTAGTGATTCGTACCAAAAGCTTTATATTTTTATTGAAAACAGATTTTTTATCATTTGCTATATCGATTACTTACTACCCTACTGACTACAACATTCTGATTTTATTTTCAGTACTTTCAGTCAGTCCTACGTTTACACTATTTATAATTCAAGAACTGACAATATTTTCTAGAATGGTATGATGATATGCCATTGCTATTCTATTGCTAACTTGATAACATTTCTAAAATTTACCTTGATAATCAGTTCAACATGAGAAATAGTTTTTGTCATTTCTTTTTACTAGCCTAGCTCTTTATAGCAAGCAAATTTAATAAGTCTCCTGAATTACAAAGTAATGTGTCTCCATCACTTCTGTTTACAGGACTACCAACACTGACAGCATTGAATGGTGAATTTTCTGTTTTATCTTCTGTTTTCTACTTATAAAGTCAATGTCTTAAGATTTTTGTTGTTGCAGATTTTTTTTAGAAGCAATGATCTTAACTGCTGACAATGCACCTAAAGATGTTATTTTATTTAGTACCAAATGATATATTTAGTTATTTTAAATTCACATAACAGAAATATGTAATTTAAGTGTATGTATCCAAAAATGCAATGTGAAAAATCAAAACATAGCTTAAAAAAGAAAAAGTGGGAAAAGAGGAAAAAAATATGACTATTTCTGAATGTTTTATGTTAAGCAACAAAAGTTTAAGGGCTTTAAATTGAAAAACAAACTTGAAAAATATTTTGTCTCTTTATTCAATTTGTAAAAATGAACGCCAAAACACTGCTGTTATTTAATTTTGACAGCATCAAATATAGGGAACACCAATATTCCACAACTTCTGGAACATCCACATTCCACAAGTAAATAACTTTAGAAAAAAATCCCTATCTTAAAGAACGAATGGCATTAAACAAACATTAAAAAATGAGAGAAGAGGGGATACACACAAAATCATACAGAATCACTGATTACTGTTACTATGTACCTATTTTTCTGAGTATTATTTAATTGGAAACATCACCATTTTAAGTATCTAAGATTAAAGGAAACTCCAGGCACACTACCTAGAATGGACAACAGAAAGCATTCCAACTATGAAATACACCAAATGACCTATGTTTAAAAGAGGCTGGAGAGTATCCAAGAAAGGCTGTTTGCTTAGAAATTTATAAAGGAGATGAAATAAGGTTAAGAATGTGACGTTATCTGTGCTTATAAATCTGTTAGAGGTTAAATGATACCTATTTCTTTTTGAAAAGTGGACTGTCCTCCAGTCTGCAGTACGAGTGTAATACCAATCGAAAAGATTTTTTTCTAAGAGTTAAGTTGAAAAAAAGCTGAGCTAGCTTTCAAGGGACCAATTAAGAAACCCAAGCCTGGATTATATAGGATTCTTTGGGGATTTGCAAATGTTTCCATTCTAGTTTTCTAGAGACAAAAATATAAAGGGAAAAAGTCAGAAAAAGAAGTGACCTGTAGCATTTGGCTACTACTCTTCAAACTGGCTCATTGTTAAAAGTTTTCAATATTTAATTGATTTCTGCCCTAAAAACTACTTATTGTTCAATGGCTGATGTTCTATGATCATAAGGTCACTCCTCGACATATACACATTACTTACTGGGTCACTAATGTAATTGTATGAGATAATGTAAGAGAAGCATCTGAAGCACTAAGTTTTCATTTAAACAGGGCCATCCCTCAACATCAAGAACAGAAACAGTTGCCCTCGAGTTCTTTTATTTAGAGATGTCCATTTAGCTCAAGGAATAGACGAAAATTAATCTTTTTGGTAATTGATTTTAGGGTCTCAAATACTTTTAGGGAAATAAGTATTTTATGCATTTACCATGACTTTGATTTGAGAGTTTTTCTAGGGATATGATATACGAAAATTTCAGCTAACTTGTTAGAATTATTCCCTTAGAATTTACAAGTTTCTCAAAAGTTAAATGAATCATGATAAAAATGTTTCTTATTCTAAGAAAGAGGTGTGCATGGGTATACATACAAAGAAGGAAAGGGGACTGCCTTCCTATGTTTCTCCCTCCTGAAGTTTAACAGCTAAATTTTAAGCACCTCACAAAGAAGTCTGAAGTGTAATCTAATGAAATGTAAAAACAAATAAATGAAAAAACTATTTCTCAAGTGGAGAGGATACTTCTAATTTATAAAACCATAAAATAACTGTCAATAAACCTGAATAATAATGATAAAAAAAGACCATTACTTATTTGTAAATTCTTTTGAAGGAAAAGGGCTTAAATTTGTGATTCTCAGATTTAGAGATGATAGGGTCTGGCTGTAAATAATTTCCAAAATAGAAAACTTACCCAAGGCAATGGCATTATTCTTGCTCTAAATTGGATTAAATTAATACCAAACTTTAACGTGTAGGGGGGAAGGGGAGGTTAGAAAGTTGTTATTCTAGGATGGTAGAAAACAAATTGCGAAATATAGCAAAGCATGACACCAAATAGTAACTTTTTATGGCAATGGTAGGGGGACAGTGAGTTAATACTTACAAGGTAAGAATTGCTGGGCTAAGTAGGGGGCTGTTTTATTATAGTCTTCATTTTATCATTATTAAACCTAGGAAAAAGATAAGAGTGAAGACTTTAAAAATTTGAACCCATTATATAAATTAGAAAATCTTCAACTGAGGTTGACAATCACTCTTCTGATCCTTATACAGCACAGAACAGATTATTAACACCCAGCAGCAGCATATATATATTTCAGTCCAGAGTATTATCACTAGTTTTTTAAATTCATTTTTCTATTACTATTACCTTCTCGAAATTTAAAAGTCAAATATGTTAAGTGTAACTAAAACTCATACTTAAATGCCTAACTTGGAGCACACTGAACTTCTAGGGGACATCACACAATGGCAGATATTTTAAGATAAATTCAAGATCATACCTCAATACTGACCAATCTGTTTTTCTGTATATGTAATACATACAACATGTATACTACTGCAAAATCTAAAAAGCCATATATTGCCCAATTCTAAGAATTCTATTGTAATACAGTATAAATACAAAGCTTAAGTTGGAGCATTTCTTTAAAATGCATAAAGAAATCTCTGAAAACAATATGCTATAATCTATGACCAAAACAAAAGAAAATATAGTTGTGAAATTACCTGAATTAAAGAGCAAATGAAAGAGTAGTGATAAGAAAAGAGAAATTGTTTCCATGGTTGTCCTTTACTTACAAGAGTAGGAAGGATTAAAAGCCAGTATGCAAAGGAAGGGAACATTATAGCTCATCTTTAAAAATAAAAAAATTTTTAAATAAATATCCTAGTAACTTAAGTTGGTCAGAATGTTTGATTTCTGTGGGCCATCATTATAAGTTGTAGTTTTTACACCAACTAATGGTTAAGCACTTACTATAAGACATAGAATAGAAAGAATGGAATACACCCATCCATGCTCTTAATGGAGCATTCCAAGTGTACATCTTATTGTAGAATATCTTCACCAAAAAAAGGACAGCACATTTTTTTCATTTATTTGAAAAAATAAACATTTAAAATCCGCAGGAAAAAAATCAAGAGACTATCAAAATGAATCCCCATATCCCACCCCTGGGCCTCCAATCCAGCTGTATTGAATTCTATTATTCTGCCATGCTTACTTTGCTTTATTTATATTTTTTAAGAAAAAAGAGTAAACATATAGTTGAGTCCCTTTTGTACTCTACCCTGATCCCATTCCCCCCTCTCCTAAGATACAATCATAATCCTGAATTTGGTATTTATTTCCTATGTATGCTTTTACACCATTACTACAAATTCAAGTATTTAAAACAATGTACATCATTGCTTTCAAGCTTTATATAAATGTTATTATACCACATATCTTTTATATAAATGTTATCATACTGTGTATAACCTTTTGCAACTTTTTTTTGCTGAAGACATTCATCTATGATGATAGACATAGCTCACACTTTAATAGCAGTATAATAAATAGTTCATCATATGACTACGTCACAATTTGCCTTTCTCCTGTTGCTTAACATTTACATTGTTTTTTTCCTATTAAAAGTAAAATATAAATATGAAATATAAAAGTAAAAAATAAACAAGTTTTTATTTTTCACACATTTATCTAGAACATCTAGGAATGGAATTGTTGGGTTCAAGCCTATGTACATCTTCAACTTTACTAGGATATTGCCAAATGGTCCCACAGCAGCACATGAAAACTTCCCCTTTCTGTATTTTCTCCAGAACCTGGAAGTACATTTAAGAAAAAATAGCTATTATCTAAATGAAAATTTAAAAAATTCTTAAGTGATCAATTCCTTCTGTTTTCATCAAGTGTAGTATACCAACCAAGGTATACTAAATGTTCCAAACAAACAGAATAGACTAAAATTTGGCCCAAAGTACTTGCACAAAAATAAAGCTTTCATAACATAGATTTTCCTCGTATGATTGAGGCAGTACCAAGACTTAATCTAGAACTACTGTGACAGAAATTATAAGATTCATAATTAGTTATTGAGCTTAAATCTTTGATGACCAAAGAGGAAAAAAAAGCAGAAAATGTAAATGCTTTATTGGTGTGAAGAATCCTCTCCCATTTCCTTTTGGGCAGTGCTTCTCACATGTGGTACTTCTCAAAAAAGTCAGGGCTTGTAAAAAACACAAATTCCTGAGCCCCAGCTCCAGAGATTCTGATTCAGCGGGTCTGGAAAAATGCTTTCTTCTAGGTTATTCCGGTACAGGTGGTCCATAGACACTTTACACAGTAATTAGTAGCAAAAACAAGGTATTTTCCATACACAGAATTACATAACTCACTTTTTGGTTAAGGGTAGGAAACAGTAATTAATATGTTATCTGTTAAATTACATCAACATATTAAAGAAAACACTCTAGTATTAGCAAAAAGAAAGTAATCTCAATTTATGATTAATACGTTTGACTTCACAATGTTAAATCAGGTTGTGGGCTCATTTATTATTTCAGATAGCTAAGCACATACTACAAAAAAGCATTTTTTTGCAATATTAGCAGGGAACTAATATTCTAAGTTTACTGTGATTGGTAAGGGAAAACATTAAGAGTGGAAGTGATTAGTTGTGATTTTAATGAAACTGACCACGGGAAAATCTATGGTTATTTTTCTAAAAGAATGCTATTGCAAATGTCAGACTTTAAATTGGGACATTAGGTTTATACACTAAAATAAAATGTCATTTGTAGTTTTCCACCAACAATGCTACAAACGAAATCAGAACTTTAATAGAAATCCAATATTCACTTCCCTATAACTACAACCTATTAGAATTATTTAATACAAAAGAGAAAAATGTACAGATATTTAGGTTATGCAAATCTGTGCAAATTCAAATCATAAAAATCAAAAACACTCTTCTATATTATTTGAAATTACCAAGTCTTATTTCCAAAAGATTTAGAATAATCTGAACATTCCAGATATAAAGTTCAGATACAAGACATTATTTTAGTAGTGAGAAAAAGTAGACTTAAGAGTTTCTACCTGCAGTCTGCTTTGTCTTTAGTTATAATACAGCACTAAGTAGTATAGGGTATTGTTCTTTTTAGCTATAGTGAAATCAACAAGAATTTGGCCTTGTTTAGACTAGGCTATAAAACAAAGAAAATATGGGCTCAGAATATGGCCCAAAAGTGAAAGAAACACTCCTGTGTGGCCACAGTCAACTTTTCTTTCCTCAATATATCACCTAATTTGTGTTATCAGCAACTAATTATTAATAATTTTTTCCAGTCTACCAGCTTAAAAGTGAAAAAATGAAACATACCATACATATTTCCAGAAGCAAGACAGTTTTCCATTCAAACAGATAGAATTAACTGAATAAAAATTAAATGAAGTAAAACCAGAGAGTAAATACTAAAAAATAAGAAGAGTCTAAGAACTATAAGCATCTACTGTTCTCTTTATGCTGCTTTGAGGAAAAAAATACCTTTTTGTCAAACAATGTATTCATTATAATATATATGGGTTACACTGACAGTTGGGCCCTTCCCACCTGGTCTGTAAAAGCCGGTGGGTTCAGGCTCCTTTGGCCACCATTATTGCATTTCGATGCTATTCTGTACAACAGCTGACAAGCAGCAGCAATCTCCCAGCCCCTGCTCCCAGCTGTAAGAGACAAGAACAAGGGCTGTGGTGATACTTGTTTATTCACTGTTGCTGCTGCTGCTGCTGCTGAAGCAGCAGGCAGAGAAAAGCATATGCAGCTAACACACAGAGGAAAAAATGGTTCAGTTCCACCTACCTAGCCAGTCTGCTTACATCACTACATGATAAAATTATTTAAGAAGGAATTTTTTCTTTAAAAAGTGGGATGAAGAGAGAAGAAAAGATAAAATTGATGTTTTGATTAGAAAGGGAATCTATAATGCATCTAAGGAAAAAAATTAATGACATGTTATGATCTTCAGCTCCTAGTTTAGACTTAACCGCTCAATTGTTGAAATTCTCAGAAGAGTTTTAACCAGGTTCAGTGTGAATTCATAAAGAATATATCTTCCCTAGCTATTCTCCTGGAAAATAAGTATCTAAACTTTCATCAAGAAATGAAATTATATTTTGCTTATAAAAAGCTCCAGGCTCCCAGGTTCCATGTATCTAATCACCACCATATGTTTGACATGAGACACTCTTAGCAAAGAAATAAGATTTTAGCCCATAAAGTTTTTACAATACTTCCAACTATTAAAAAAAAATTTCCACATGTAATTGATCTACTTTAAATGCGTAATACAAAGCTGAAAACTTAGTAAGTACATAATATCAATTGATAAGTAACAGATATAGAAATATATGTTCTGTCAAACTTTCTTTCAATTTAAATGTGATGCTATTTATTGATTCCTAACTTTAAATTTAAATGCAATTCTTATCTTTTAATACCTTAAGCGATTTTTGATTCTGAAAAAATATTTAAAAAGTCAGGAAAATTAGGACATTTATGAATTATTTTTTAAAATGTTAGAATTGACTGATAAGTTTAAATAATATCCAGTCAAAGAAGGCTAGGTTTGAGACTTATTAAAATAAAAGTATAAAATGTAGTAATCTTTAAAATTCAAATATTTTGTAAAAAAAAAAAAGAAAAAACTCAATATTTTTATCAAAATTGAATAAGTACTTTAAATAACGCTAATATTAAAGATAAAAGATAATTCTGAGGATCACAGGGCAACAAAATTACTAAATATATTTATTTAGTATGAAAGCTATACAATAAGAAAGACTAACAGCAAATATCAAAGATGGATTTTTAAAAATTAAGACATTTGGAAACAGTAATAAATTAATAAGCTATTAACCAGCAGATTAATGTCTCAGCAACTACATTTGAAACATGCTGCATGTTTGTTTCTCTTCAAAGTGACTAACCATGAAAATAGGAAAGTAAAACTAAGTCAAATCATATATGTTAATGAAATATCAAAAGTGTGGTTTGTGGTGATGAGAACTGAAATTCTACTTCAAAATGATATTTAATAAAAAATTTAAATCCTTACATTAATTAAATATTGCCTTTTGAAAATGTTTATTAGAAAATACAATTCTGATGCATTTGATTTTATTTGAAGAAAAACAGAAATAGATTAAAGATTTGCTAGTCAAGAAAAAACACATAAAATACACATACATAACTGCTTCAAACAAACATTTGAAAAAAATTTAAGAAAGTTAATTGTATCTACTCTTTAATGAATTCTCAGTGACACTATAACACCTCTACTAAAGAAAGTTGTTAGAGCTGACAAATTCCTTAAAATGTAAATTGTCCTTATAAACTAGCATTATATATCAATGACAAATAATGAATAATTTCAAGTCTCTTCATACGTAGATATGTTAAATTACCTCTATTCTAGTTTATCCAAATATTCTTTCCCCACTAAGGATAACTATTTCAATCAAACAGGAACACTGGCAGTATAACTGTATTTTAGGAACAATTAAGAATTTTTCCTGAAAATTAATGTTATTTAACCCTGAAAATGCATTTAAACAAAAATATAAATCTTGCATAAATAAGATATAAATCTATCACTGAAAAAAAAGATAACACAATAAATCCTTTCCCCCAAATTCTGACATATTGAACTACATATCAAAGCTTAGTTAGATATAGATAATCAGGTTTGCAAATTTAAAACAGCTAAAATCCTTACAAAATGTCCTTTAAGGGTAGTTAAAGGATAGCCAATCACACATAGCAGTAAAAGCCCTTATTAACCTCTCTTCTAAAATAACAGCTACTACTAATTAGGTTAAAGTTTCTCACCCTGTAAGAACTGACCAAATACAAGAAAACTGTTAATAAATATCTGCATTGATTCTTTTAGATGTTAAATTATTTACTAAGCTAAATATTTGGAAGTTTATAGGCCAGTATATAGCTAAAGAGAGGATAATTTTATGATGCTAAATATTTGTGCCCAAACAGTAAGTTTTGACAACTTCAAAGATCACTAATCATAAACTCTCTAAATTAGGAACAACTCTGTGGATTTATGTCTTTATCTACAATATAAACTCAAAAGCTGTCTCTCTTCCCCCATTTAACTCATTAAGTCTGTGTGTAAAGATATCTGGATTGAAAGTGATAAACTGAACGTGGATTTTTTTTCAAACACTCAGAAACCATATTTTTCACTTTTCATCTTAATGTTCTCTAACCTGGAAAACACTGGTTAAGTTAGGAAAAAACTGTATTCATTTTCATCCTATTCAAACTGAGCTGCTTTTTTATAACACTCTCAAATCAAAGTTATGAGGACAGTCTATACCTTGTATTTATCTCCAACAACCACCTTAGAATATAATAACACCAACACCTGAACTTCACCCTTATATTAAACTGATTTCTACTAAATTTTAACATCTTATTTAACCTTAACTGTTAATGGATTCACATTCCTGGATTATCTATCATCTAACATCTAATAATACAGAAATATCTAATGTTAGTTTTTTAGTATTTTGAAAAGATCTTAATGTTCAAACATTCTTAAACATACATCTGAGAATCTGCTTTAAAAACATTTTAACATTATTTAAAGACAAAAGCAGTTCTATGACCATGATAATTACACTACACTCTTAAGACTAAATTACACTTTTCTCATGAAAACAAACCTTTCTGACTTCCTATATCTTAAGTATATAGAGTCAATATTTTTAGGTGAAAAAAAATTTAAAGAAAAAACTGTAGTATGTTATATTTTAGTAAACCTCATTTTATTTAGCAAATAGTATTTTAAAAAAATATATTATGGTTAATACTTCACCATGTGATTAATACTTTACTATGCAAAAATTAACCAAGTAATACTTAGTAATACTGTTCAATAAGTTCATTTTCATTATACCAGATTACCATTTAGAAAACAATCAAAAAATTTATTAGCTAGGTATCTGAAATTTTCAACTAAAGCTATAAAAATCAAAGAAAATAAATATGCTAGAAAAGTAGTTCTGTGATAAGGAATTCTGGAGGTAAAAACAATAAGTCACTGACGTTTTGGCATTCTACAATTTATTTTTATATAGTTTGCAACTTTTGATATGAACAATTTAAATATTTTACTCAGAGTACCTATGAGTAAGATACTAGTTTCTGCTTAAGAAAGTGGGTTTTTCAGTTTCAACCAAATTGCCACTTTTGGTTAGGACAGTACTTGGAATACTCTTAAATTCTCTTAAAATATTCTCATTAATCTTATCTAATTTCGTAGGCTCTACCTATCACTAAACCTGTCAAACAGCCAAGCATCAAATTTCATTTGATTTAAATCTTCCATTTTATAAGATGAAAAGTCCACTATTTAATTCTTTTACATATAACACTGTAATAACAACCTTAAGAAGAAAAAAGAATAATCACTATATGTACTTATTTTTAGAATAAATTCAGTTGGAGTTGGACGTAATACAAGATGATGAGAACATCAACTATATAAAAAAATGTGGAGTTTTAATAAGCAAGAGAACTCAACCTTGGCCACTTTCACAGGATGATTTCTGTCTTTTCATAAATCTTTACTGATTTTAGCTCATTTAAAAGTTCTAACTTTACCAAGTGCCTAGCCCAATTTTATCGCAAAGATATAAAATTATATGCTTTTAAAATTCATTAGTATACCTTAATCTCCTATCATGTTCCAATGCATTATGTGAGTGTTCAATCAAAGAAGTTAGGTTGTTCTCCAGAATTGGCTCTCTCCTAAAGGTCAAAACCTGCAATAAAAATGTCATGTATTATAGCATGAAGACACTCAACAGATTTCCGCCTCCTGCAGTTCCACAGCTGATCCCTGAACACAGAGGTAAGGTCTTCAAAATGACCCCAATCTTGCCTATGTTCAAAGAAACCCTAACTTGAAAATAATGTTTTTTAAATAGAAATAACTTGATTAGAAACACCTGTGATATGCTTTATCATCCGAAGCCTCTTCAAACAAATCAGATTAATATGTTTCTGCTTTCATTTCTCCTTAGGGCATTCATTTTCAAAGCAGTGTAGATGACTGTGTGTGTGTGTGTGTGTGTGTGTGTGTGTGTGTGCGCGCGCGCGCGCGTGTATGTAGGTAGGTGTAGGAGGACTGGTAAAAGGGAATCCATAAAGAAAATATCAGAAATATAGTTTGTGCTTCTAAAACTCATAAAATCCACAGTTTAAAAATTACTCAAGGGATAGAGACAAATTTTTAACTACCTTTTTCCCCAAATTATCAAACGTTTTAATGATAACAGAAATTACCATTATTTTCAACTTTCATCTTTTGCCATGCCTGAGTGAACAATAATACTGATATTTCCAAATATTTTTGGACATTACAGTTCTAACAGAATAAAATTTAGAATTTACTTTTTAAACAAATTAAAATATTTGTAAGTAATAAATGGATAACTATTGGGCCAATGTTTTTTAAATGTTTCCAAGTCAAGGTGGTGTAACCAAATGTATATAAGTGGCTTTTTCATTTGTTTCATCTGAATCTTAATGATTTAGTGGCAGTCAACTACATAAAAATATTAAATTGTTAAATTACCAAAGGTTTATAAGGTACTATATATGAACCATAATGCTCTGAGTTTTCCACTTTAAGAATAGCTTAGGAAAAGAAATGAAAACCAAAAAAACCTTTATTACTCTGCCACCAAATATTTGATTGTTTAATGACAAAAAACACACATACATAACTCACAAACACCAACCCAAACACCATAACATTTTAAAAAATAAAATCATTCTATATAGTCTTCCTCAAAAGATATAGACAAAGGTTTCTATACTTGAGCACTCTGAAAATTAAGGTATCAACTTAAAAAACCACAGATTTTAAAATTATGTACTCCATGCCAAATGTTAAGTTTTTAAATAGTAGAGAAACAAAAAGTACTAGATAATAAAAAACAAAAGAGGTTTGGATATAAGACAAATATTAAACCAAATGTGTACGATTAAAAAAAGATGATGTAAAAAACCTTGCAATAGTAAAACTCAAATCTGTTACAAAATACAGCTTATTATTTATACTTAGAACACACCACAAGTCTGTCCAGTGCAAAGATTCTTTCGTGAAATAAGACAGGATTAACCAAAGCATATTAAACTTCTCATAATTTGATAAGAAATATTAAGAATAAAAATTCATTATATATATTTAATATCAATTCCAATATTTTAAATTTGTCTTTCTAAAAAGATCATTTAAAGCATCTCTAAGACAGGCAAGGGAAAAAAAAGGCAAAAGAAAATCATTTCCCTACCAGAAAGTAATATTTATAGGAAGGCTCTACAGTCATTTGTACATGCAAATAATCAGACAATTATATAAACACATATTAGTAATGTGATATTCTAAATTTGATGTTACTCATAATATTAAGACAATCACGACTTTAAAGTTCTAATACTGTCACTTGTAAAAATTAAATGCAAAAACAGCTTAATCTCATTTTCGACACTTATTTGAAAGAAAATGGTAGTTTATTACTGATTTCCTTTGATCTTAGGAGATTTGGGGCTACCAAATTTCAGCAAGTCATAGTTTGAGTCCTAATTACATGCCATAATTAATTGCCTGGCACACAGTGTTTCTAAGTTTGCTGAATTAAAAGAAAAAAAGAAAACTACATGTACACTAATACTCTAATATGACAATTCTAAGATGTGTTTTCTAGTTATAATCAGACCAATAATCTGTTTCTTTTAAAAAAGGGTTAAAAAGAAATCAATGTGGGGATTATTAAGCTTCATTAAACAAAAGAAAAAAAAAGACAAGAGCCAATTTTAGGCCAGTAATTTTTTAAAATAAAAGAGACAAATTTTTATAAAATAAAATTTCAAAGTACTGTGTAAATTTATACTCTAATTGATTTTTTAATTGGAGAAAGCTATGTATTAGGCACAGGAAATATCTAATACACTCTCTGGGCATTTTTTTTCTTTATGTAAACCAAATTAATTGACTAATATTTCTGGATTGAAGTATTTTGTGACATTCTGAATAATTACTACATACCAATAATTAAGTAGAAATAAAAATATATGTAAGTCTCCACAAAACGAAAACCAAACAAAAACGTAGTACACAAAGCATGATGAAACAAGGGACCCAGAATATAAAAGCTATTTTGAAATTTTCATCCTTAGCTCTCGTTCTTGATAAACGTTAAAAGTGATATTAATCTGATTAGAAAAAAATGCAGTGTCACATACAAACACCTGAGGCTACATTTCGTAAATGTACAACTAAGACAAGTAAACAACATTAAAACAAAGTCTAAAATTGCACTTTTATTTGGATTTTTAAAAACAGTATAAAGGGCAAACGCATAAAAATCAATGCTACCAGGAAGACTGATACCTTACCTTCTCTAGTTCCCTCTCCCCCACAATATGTAAACACAGCTTTAAAAAGAGTTGAGCTACTGTAGCAACACCTTTCCCCACCACTGTTTTCCTGTGGTAATATATGACTTTTCTAGGCTTTACAATAGAATAGAAAATAATTTGGAATTATCAATTTCTGCAGAGAAATATGGATACTATACATAATAATAATATAAATATATCTGTTGGAACTCACACCTGCATGCCCACAAATCTAAAACCAAAATTTTCCTCTTATGTAGCATCACATAAAAGGGAAAATATTTTGAATGTTGTGGATTTTATTTAGGCGCTAGTGTGTTCTCAATGTTTAAGTGTAGTATTTAAAATAAAGGAATCTTTCATTTCTTTTAAAAATGGCTTATTAAACAAAAACAATCCTTCACCCATCACCCCCAAAAACAAACAAAAAAACCCCATTAACCAAAGCACTAAAAAAAATATGGTTAAATTTAACCAGCCTGGTGGAATTTAAAGCCTTCCCCCACCCCACCCTCAAAACTCTCCAAGTCACATAATAATCTGAATGAAAATTAAAACACAAAAAACAAAACAACCAGTAAAAAAGCAAAACCCACTAGTTCTGGTATCGTAGGTAAAATTACATTTAAAATAGAAATGGGGTCCCCTACAATTTCATTAAATCAAATTTTATAGAGAGGATAATTAGCACTTTTTATGACATTCTCAAAATAAATAGCTTTGAAAAAAGGTAATAAACATAGGTTCTGTAATTGCAATTCTTGTTATGAAGGCAATACAAAATAGTATGATTTATAAACTCTGCTATTCCACTTATTAATATAAATCATATTTACAGCTCTATGGAGATTTATAAAAGTCGTAGGATCTTTTTCATTTGAATATTTTCTAACAATGCATCTTTGACCTAATGTGAGAATACAAACTATAAGTTTCAAAATTTCAACTACTACTCATAAAAGGATATAGATTCTTATTAAATTAAAAATCTTTTAGAAAGCATCTACAGCTTTCTCGTTTATCAGTGAGTTTACCGATTTTCTTTGAAAACCACACCCGCCTTTTATCAAGATGCAATTAAATGGAATGACAAGCTCGGTAATAAATAGAAATATATTGACGGCTGTCTCAAGAAACATTAAACAAAAATCAACTGAAAACCCAACCAAATAAAACAACACACCTACACTGTGGTATGCAATATCTTTCTTCATAACGAATTTATCAAAGGTATGAAATCACATATACGCACCTGTACGTACTTACCTGTTGTATTGTCTAAATTAAGCAACATAAATTTCTTGTAAATAAAGTTTTAAGGCCACTGCAATGGCTTAATTAGCTAAACCTATATATTTCAAATTAGATGTGAAAAGCTTTTAAAATATATCCGTTTTTTATGGAAAATGTGGAAAAGCTCATTCTTAAAATTAAGAAAATTAAAGTTTCTTTTCGTCGAAATAAAACAATTCTCCTGTCATCTGCATCTAACAAACATATGTAGCTTAATATGAAAAATTTCTGTCAAAGGAATAAAAAACCTAAATCCTACACTCAGTTTTTAACCAGTAGAGAACAGGGACAAATATATAAAAGTCTTGTAATTTCAGCCAGCAGAATAACAATTTTGCGAAAATTGCCTCTCAGTTTTACTTTTAATATACATTTCAAAACCACTCGAAAGTCCTTTATGAAAGAAAAAAAATATTAAACACCAGTTTTTTTTTTTAAACTCCCTGTCTTAACGTTTCGTAACTATTTCCGTGGTTTTCTAAAAGTATAATTTTTCGGAAAGTCCAGAATTGTAATCTGGTGTTCAACATTCAAACCCCCCAGTCCCGCTTCCTTCCAGCCAATCAGGGGGTAACAAGTCCGGTGTTTTGGGAGCTCCGTTAGACACAATTTGAAAAACATCACATTGCGCTCTCCTATTCTCCTCGGAGAAAGAGTCTAAGTGAGGGCGGGTCCCCCAGTCTTTATAGAAGTAAGAAATCAATCAATCGTTACATCAATTCCAGGGGGAAAAACTCTTTAGGCAGGCGGTCCTACAGAGTGTGTGATTGCGGTTCCCAGAAAGCGTTATTCCTCTTTGCGAACAATTGAATAGTAGCTGCAAAAACCATCTCCTGCATATTCGCAGCCCAGAGCCGCGCGTCCCACACGCAAAACACACCAGCAAAGGGTTAATCTAGTGGTGCCTCCAGCGCAGAAAAGGATTCAAGATCCAATATATTCTTTAATAAGGAATTTTTACAAAGGCCATTATCTATAAAGTATTACTTAAAGCCGTAACTGGCTCAAATCATTGAAGAGTTGTCGAGTAAGAATTGGTAGAAACTATGAGCTTAAAAAAAAAAATCACCAAAGGGAAAGACAAATAACAGCACTCTTCCCTCTGCTTCAGAGTCAAGAGAGTTCCCAAGAAAAGGTGGGGATTGCAAAATTACCGTTAAGTTGTCCGGGTAAAAAGACTTTTCGGGAGGAAAACATCAATAGTTTCACAGATTGCTTTTTTCCTTGCGACATGTTTCAAAGACTGGAGAAGGAAAAAGTCTTCTAAGAAAAGTGCGACTCGGAGAAGGCAATCACAAGCTCGAAGCCCCGTCTTTCATCTCACCCAAGAACACCCCCCCGCCCCCCAAGAAAGGACAAGACCGTGAGAGCAAATGACCAAAATCCCGAGCAAAAAGCGAAAGTCCAGCATCTTTCCTAGGAGCCCGCTAAAACCTCAAAAGCCTGCCCCCGCCCCATCCTGCCCAAATTGGAAAAGCCAGACGCGGTCAGCGCTACCCTGCCGGGACCAAGGCGCGCGGAGCGGGAGGGCGGCGCGGGGAAACTCACATTCCTAGGGCACCTCACGCCTTAGCGTCAAGGACAACACACACGGCTGGGTCCCGCGGGGGGTACTGTCCCCACCACGGACCGGAGGCACCCGCTACTCCGGGTTCTCAATTTTCCGCCGACCTCAAGTTTCTTGTCAGGAGCAGACGGACGTCAGCGGGCCGGGAAAACAGCGATAAAGGACGGCTCGGTTCGGCCGTGGGGGAGGGGGCGCTCGTCCCACTCCTCCTGTCAAAGAGCCGCGGCCTGCGGAGCCCCGCCGCGCCCCGGCCCCGGCCCCGGGCGGGGGGTCCTGCTGACAGATCCGCTGGGCGGCGGCCGCTCCGCCGCAGCCCGTCCGCGTCCCGCTCAAACTACAACTCCCCTCCCCCCACGCCCCCGTCGCCCCGCGCTCCCGCCACATTCCGCCCGCCGCCGCCCACTTGCAGACACCCAATTACCCCCAACCCTATCTCCTCGCCTTTTTCGCGATTAAAATGAGGGCGGACCCAGTGCCCACTCCCTGCAGCCCCCTACCGCCTGCCGGTCCCACCACTGCCACCTCCCGAGTCCCGCTCTGCCACTTCTTCAGGCTCTTACCGACTGCGCCAACCCTGGCGAAGCTCTGCGGATTGCCCTTTGCTCGAAGTAATTTTTGGCGATTTTTTTAGTGATTTTTCGGCGAAGTCCCAGTGGCGCTATACTCTCGGACAGGTTACCCCGTTTCTCCCGCTAGATTGATGAGATCAGGCATCACTCGAAAATGGCGCCGAAAGCGCTGAGGCTCCTCATTCAAATTCGTTAGAGCCAACCCCGCCGCCCCGGGGCATGCCGGGAACGCGGGCTGCCTCCACAGCTGTCAATACCGCCTCCTAACCCCCCCATTCTCCAGCTTGCCCGACACTTCTGCTCATGCGCAAACTCCTACCCCAACCCCTGCGCCTAGAACATGCGCAGAATCATTGCTGTTCGCCGTTCTCTCTTCGCTTCCTCAGTCTCAGTCCTTCTTCTTTTTTTGCGCGTGCGTTCAGCTCCTTTGCTCAGCCGCAGAGGTGGAGGGACCGTGGGGACTTCGGGCCCTAGGGTCCGCAGATGACATGTCAGTCGATAGGCATTTATTTTACTGTTCGAGGAAAACAAATAAGGGTGCAGCTTAGGCGAAAAGAAAAACGTCTTATTGCCAGTGACTAATCTCCTAACAACGACATGTGTCTCTGAGACTGTGTATGTGGATACACGTGTACTTAAAACAGCCCCGCCTGTGTGCAGAGCTCTTGCTGTACGTCAACGCTTTACAGGAGCTATCGCACTTAAGCCTCAGAACAACTTTATGAGGTAGGTACTATTATTATTCTCGGTTTGCAGACCAGGCTCAGAGACTTTAAGTAATTTGCTTAAGGCAGCACAGGTAGCAAGCACGTGGATAAGTCCGCATCTGTCAGATTCTAGAGCCCAGGCCTTTCTCTACCTTGCTGTGGGAGCCAACCTGAGCACACACAGGAGGGGTGGTTTCCCCTGCTCAGCAACTCTGTGTGTGCGTGTGCGCGCGCGCGCCTGCCTGGAGTTAAGGATTACTTAAGTGTTGGAGCCCTTCTTCCCGGTTCTAGGCTGCTGCGAAGGCGCTTCCATCGAATCCAGTTTCTGTCACCATCTTACTTGTTCTTAAGCATTCTGCTCGGTTTTGGAGAGGTGAATGGGCAGTCTTTAGGTGTTACTTAGGGTGATTTTTTTTTTTTTAATGGGTAGTAAGGGATCTGAATCTAGCAAAGACAGGTTTCCGTGTGCCACGCATTGATAAAGTAATAATAGCTAGATACCACGTATTGATTGTACTCTGGCCTGGGCACTGTGCTAAATAAACGCTTTACAGATTGATCTTGGTTACGGCTCACAACAGCCCTATGAAGTAAGTATTATCCTCATTTTACACGAGGCCACCCGAGACTCAGATTAAGAAACTTAAAGTCTTAAATTAGTAAGTAGAAGCACAAAACCTAGGCAAATTTGTGTCCACCTTCAAAAACTAGGTGCTATGACAGGACAATAAATGATAAGTTGTCAATATTTTAACACTTCCTTAAAAACCTCTTTTAATCATTCATCTACTTGGGAGAGTTATCCTCCTTGCCACCAAGCTGTTAAGATGAAAATTAAAAAAAAAAGAAAAACAACTGCTATTGATCCTAAATGATTAAATTTTAAGATTATTTTTGACTCGTTTTTTCCTGATCCCAAGTTATAATGAATTTTCTAAATAATCCAGCAGTTTAAAATCTGGGGTATTGCTACGTTTTTTCCAGTTTCTTTTTTCAAAATAACTTGTGATGAACCATAACTGTTTGAGTATACAAAGACATATATCATTGTGAGGGTTAAATAAGAATGGATATGAAAGTGCCTGAAGTACTAAAACGTTAAGGAAATGGGAGAAGGCTAGCATGGTTCACATTACTGAGGTACAACTGGAAGAGAATAATAATTTGAGATCATAATAATTTGAGATCATCAAGAATTAACATGGCAGAGTAGTACGCTTGGTTCACATCTCTATGCTACTTTTGTGCACTGGTTAAGTGAGTGGACTTTGGAACCAAACTGCTTGGGTTTGGATCTCCGCTCTGTTGCTTACTAGCTTTGTGACCCTACATGAGTTACTTTTTCTCAGTTTGATCTTTCCTAAAAAGAGTAATGCTAGTAACCTCATTGTGTTGTTGTAAGAATGTAAATGTAAATATTAAAAGACATCTGAACAGTGCTTGGTATATTAGTAAATGTTAGCTATTGTTGTGAGTGACTCATTAACAGTGATCTTTTAAAATGGCTTCTTGAGAGGTATTTTAAAAATCAAACTACAGTTAGTGCCATTAGGAGTTAGCATTTGTGTTCAAGAGCCCCTTAAAATGATAAATCAGCCTGACAAATTATTTTTGCCAAATATGAGTAATGATTTCTGTCAGATGAATAAGGATATTAATTTGTTTTACTATTTCATAAGAGTAAAATATGGAAATGGAATACTTTTATTGCTTTTTCTGATTATTAAAGAAAACTAAAGGAAAAAAGACCAGGCCAGTCTAAAATATATAAAGTAAAAACCATCCAAAGTTCTGTCAATCAGAGATAAACATGTATTGTTTGTACTTTAAAAATATACCTATGGAGGGCCAGCCCTGTGGCGCAGCGGTTAAGTGCGCACGCTCTGCGGCCTGGGGTTCGCAGGTTCGGATTCCGGGCGCGCACCAACGCACCGCTTGTCAAGCCATGCTGTGGCGGCATCCCATATAAAGTAGAGGAAGATGGGCATGGATGTTAGCCCAGGGCCAATCTTCCTCAGCAAAAAAGAGGAGGATTGGCATCGGATGTTAGCTCAGGGCTGGTCTTCCTCACACACACACACAAAATATATATATATACCTATGGGGAGAATTGGCTAGAGAAAGTCTGGATAAGTGGTATATTTGGGGAACTTATTTGCAAGATTGTACTAGAACTTCATGAATGGGTAAATTTTTGATCTAGCCCCCTTTTAGATGTATTCTGTCAAGAGAATTCTAAAGTGACCATGATGTTGTTGATAAATAGTAACATTTATTGAGTACCTACTGTGTGTCAGCTAAGCATATATATACATTTTCCCCTTGCATCCTCATAACTCATGAGGTGTGTGCAATTATTATCTCTGTTTTGCACAGACTAAAGTTTATGTGGAGGTCACTTAGAAGATTTAAGTCCTTAAGGATTTTGTTTAAAATCCTATTTAATAAATAAAAACCCTTCATTAAAGCTTCTTGATTGACTAAAATGGGAGAAAACAAAATCAAGTAACATGGTTCCTATGCCTTAACAAAAAGCCCAGCTGCAAAAATGGTGTTTTGAAAATGAAGAATTTTATGTTTGACCACAAGGGGGTGCAAAATACTGAGTTGAATTTTAAAGAAAAAAAGAAAAAGAGCACTTTTACTTCAGATCATCAAATTCACAAGTAAAAACCTAGTAAGAATACATTCCCCCAGCTTTAATACTCCACATGATGATGTACAATATGAGAAGAAAGAACTCATTTAGGTATTGTGCTCAATTAGGGTAGAAGTTTTCAGCTTTCTTTCATCTTCAGTACAGTGAAGAGTTAATCATCCCTATTCCTAGCCCTGTCCACACACCCAGTTTGTCTCTGCATACTCTTCTTTACTTGTCATTAGAGCAGAACTGAAGTCATAATTTAAAATCTGAGGTTTTACTTGGAGACTGCAATGCAATCACCAGCAAACGAATGGTAAATATGGGTAGTGTGGAGAACAGAGGTCTTGTAATTTCAATGCTTTTTTTCCCTCCTGCTGTTTCTAATGAGTAAGCTACAACTGATGGAATGTTGGCTTCAACATATTAACTTATTTAGATAAAACTGTGAAAACTATAGTCTGTTCATCTTTTAAGAAAGAATGAAGACTCAAAGAAAACATTTTGAAAGTAACTTGAAAACTTAGTGTACACTGGTGAATGTTTTAAAAACAAGTTGCTTAGATGGGTTTTAAAGTATCTTTTCTTCTTGGTCTTGTTTCTCTGAGGTGGCCTTAATTTTAAAAAACCTTTTTAATTGGAAATAATTTCAAATTTACAAAAAGTTGCAAAAATAAAAATAGTTCAAAGAACACCCATATCATTTGCTTGTTCTTGTGCATAGGCCTGTCTCCACATTTATGTAAATTTATGTACAATTTTTTTCTGAAGCATTTAAGCTTGAGTTACATACATCCTCACCCTTCACCCCTAAATACCTGAGGCTGTATTTCCTATCAACTTCATAAATTTACATGGAAATACTTCAGTCTACCATCCATATCCCAGTTTTGTAGGTTGATCCTTCTAGCATTTGCCCCTCCGGTATAGGAGCCAGTCTGGGGTCAGGTACTACATTGAGTTGTCATGACTCTTTAGCTTCCTTTACTTTGGAGCATTTCCACAGCCTTTCTTTATCTTTTATGACCTTGACATTTTTGAAGAATACAGCTTCTCCCTCCACTCTCCTTTTTAATAGAACGTTCCTTATTTTGTTTTTGTCTGATGTTTCCTCATGATTAAACTGAGGTTATGCATTCTCAGCTGAACTACTGCACAGGTGGTATTGTGTCATTCTCTGGGTATCACTTCTGGAAGCACATGATATCCATCTCTCCCTCATTGATGATGTTAATTTTGATCACCTGGTCCATACGTGGCCTGACTTTTCCACTGTATAGTTCCTGTTTTTTTTCTTGCTGGCAATTAATAAGCAATTTGTGGGAAAACATTTGAAGATATATCCTGAGCTTCATTCCATTTTAAATTCTTTAAATTCCCATTTAAATTTAGCATCCATTATTGCCGATATAATTTTACCATGATGGCTGCACAATGATTCAACAAATCTAGTACTCTCTCTATAGGAGGCATAGTTAGCCCACAGCATTCTACTACAAACAAAGAGCCCTCTCTTTTCCCCTATTTATCTATTTATTATCTGCATTAACTTATGAATTCCTATGTTTTTCCATTTCTGTATTAGCTTTGTTTTCATGTGTTCTTTCTATCTATATTGATGTGTATATTTTGTACACTTTTTCTGAACCACTTGAAGGTAAGTTACATACATCATGACCTTTCACCCCTAAATATTTAAGTCTATATTTAATTATTTTGATGTCCCAGATTTACTGAGTGGGAGCACCTTTAGTGTGGGTCCCATGTCTTCGTGATATGTCTACATCATTTTTCTTGGGCACTTCCTTACTGTCTGGTCTAATAAGATGTTCCACATTTACCTTGTCCTTACCCTGCCCCAGGAATTAGCCTTTTCTCTAAGGAGCCCTGTTTCCTGTTAGTGAAGAATGGTAGTAGAGACCAAGTCTAGATATGCTCATTGCTACTGAGGTGTCTCTGTTTCTTGGACCTTTCAGGAGACAGAGCTAGGAAATATATACATATATACATATGTACAAATATGCATACACTAATATATACACATATGTTAATAACATGGGTTTAATTTTAAATTATTTTCCTAATAATTGAGAAGATATCATAGAAACATTTATGAAGCTCTGAATAAAGGCAGTGAAATCACAATCCACACAAACAACTCATACAATTTTCATGTTCCCTTTTAGTCAGTGTCTGTACACACAATTTTATAGGGTCATAGTGTGAAATAGTTTTCTTTGTCTTTTTCCAATTAATATATCATAAACATCTGAGTTACTATATCATGTTTACAATCTTCATTTTAAATTACTCTGCTACATATCATTTAGCAGATTCTACCATTCTTCTATTGCTGGACATTTAGGTTGTTTCCAATT